TTTGTATAGGCTGAGATGAAGTAATTGGTCTTCCTCAAGGCGAGAGGCTGCAAAAGGGGCTGTTCTGTGTCAATAATTTGTGAACACAGCCAAGAACTAGAACTACAGAGACAGTAGGATTTTCATACTGCATCATCTCTGAGCCAGCACTTCAGCCCAGAAAAAAAAGGCACCTGGATGATGCATGAACAAAAATATTGCTGTCCTTGATATAAAAGAACTGAGATTGATTTACTAAATCAGAGGCATCCAATCTTTCTTTGCAAAGGGCCAGTTTATGATTTTTCAGGCTTTAGGGGGGCTGGGCTGTGTCCAGTAGGAGTAAATAATGCCTCATCTTTGTTTCTTTTAGGAATACTAGTTCCCCATCAGTTGTGTCAGTGGGAGGAGTGGTGCCCTAAAATGGTGTCAGTGGGAGGAATAGTGCCCTGTCAATGGTGTCAGTGGGAGGAACAGTGCCCCATCCATTGGTGTCAGTGGGAGGAATAGTGCCCTAAGGGACAGATAAAGACAAGCAAAGGGCCACATCCGGCCCCCCGGGCCACAGTTTGGAGACCACTGAACTAAATCATTGGGGGGCTGTTCACTTAGCAAAGTGTAAGCTCACTTTGCAGAGTGATTGTTAGTAAATAAGATTTTGTTGTGTTCATTTTAATAGCCAATCATGTGCTAGCATATACCCTGTTTACCACAAATGGGTGTCATAGAAGTGTTAGGCTTCCCGCACTTCACAAACAGAAACTGTAAGATTTGGTCCCTCCATTATGAAACAAGACATACAAATTATAACACAAAGTCATTGACACAGAACAGAGAATCAGTGATCATCAGGTTGACTGTTACCCCTATGCAGGGGCGGACTCACAACTCATGGGCCCCCGGGCAATAGGGGATCATGGGGCCCCTGTGTCCTTTCCCAAGCTCAAAAAAAACTATGAAAAAGGTACCAGGGGCATCTCATGGGGCCCCCTACTGACCCCCGGCCCTCAGGCAGTGCCCGAGTTTCCAAATGGTCAGTCCGCCCCTGACCCTATGCATAATCAAGTGAGAGCGGTAAAGAAGAGCACAGCTATTCATATATCCAAACTCAGTTTAAAGACAGGCTGAGGAGGAATAATGTTCTGGGCTTCCCCAAAGGCTCTGAGGGCCACAGACCATAAGAATGTTTAGAAATCTGGCTTAAAACCTCGGTGGGAGAGTGGGAAATTACTGGTCTGTTTGTCATTAAACATGCATATAGAATTCCTATGAGAACTCCTCCACCAGGTGCTCCTCTCAATCCTCTTATCACCCGCATCCTTTACTTCAAGGATAATGATAAAATACAGAGATATGAGAGAACATGTAAAAAACTACCATATAATGAAAGTAATTTCCAAAAACCCAGATTTCTCTGCCCACCACATAAAAACAGCGTACAGTTTTACAAATGTTAAAAGGCTCCATCCAGCTAAACTGCAGGTGGTGGATAGAGGGAAGGCCCTATTCTTCACTTTCCCAGTGGAGGCTTCATAGTGACTTGATACTAAAGACTACTCTCGAGGACTTACGTTACCAACCCCTAATTATGCACATAACGTCACAATGGATCTTTGTTCACAAAATGTGCATTGCGCCTTTGAGACCTGTAAGAGTTATGTTTTGAACTCTGTCCTGGATACTGATGCTATATTTTAAGCTCCCCCCACAATCACTTTCCTTTGGTGATATTTGACTGTGGATATCTGTTGGGGTGAAAAAAAAGGCCTAACCCGTCTGCAGTGTATACCTGTGACTTTATCTAGCAACTAAAAGGGGAGCATGATCACATTTTTATCGTCGGTCCTTCGTTTGAAATGTGAAGAAACTTGGCCATCTCCCCTCCTGCTGCAAAGCTCTAATTATTGGTTAGAAAAGTGGCAATCCCGCAGAGTACGCCAGCGTACTCTACACCACCATTGTTTGACTGAATAGCTAAGTTTATAATTCTAGTTTTGGGTTTAAAGCTCACAATTACTTGGGGTTATCAGCCAGGTGAGATGGGTTGGGATTTGTTTACTATGTTTGCATTTATACTTAAGGAACTGTTGTGCAGGTGATACAACTTATCTAGCCTCATGGGCTCCAGGCTATTCCTACTTATCTGCTTGTAAAAGCCTGTAATAGTAGCTTTTGTCTTTAAAGGAATAGTTTATTGCAAAAGATTTATTGCTGTTCCACGATAGTTTATCTGAACCTTTATAATGTCAAGTTCACAAAATATGTTCCTGAAACAATTGAGGATTTCAGATTTAAAAGGCCCATGGTCTTCAACTATACTAGAAAATATAAACCCCTAATATTATGTTTTTGAGACACATCTCCAGGGACTTAAGGTGTGGACTCTTAAAAAAGCCTATAGAGAAAGCATACTGTTCTACATACTGCTCTAATTTAAGAGGCGTAACTATACTCATTTTATAATCCCAGCAGCAAAAATGTAAGAAATTAAACTGGATTTTCTGGGAAGTTATGTAATACTTAGAATGCATAATTATTACTTAACTTTGTTATTGCATATTTACCCCCTCCTTTCACCATTACTAAATTGGTGGATTATTATGGGAAAATGTTGGCAATATTATAATGACCCCATTAATATTACAGGAGACTATCATACAATGTTGGATCTGAACCTGGATAGGCATGGGTGCTCCTGTAATTATTCTGCATCTTTGGCTAATTAGATATAAAATATCAAATATCTAGCTAGGCCTCAATGTATGCCCTCATCACATATACAGTAAGCAGGAAGGTTTAGTTAAGAATACTAAAGAGACCTCAAAATGCTTTCTAATTATATACTGTACAAAGAATTATATCAGACAAGGGCACAATACTCCAAGGATGATCTGCTAAATTATCTTAGCAGGATGTTCCTGCCCTCCCTTACTGCATATCAAAAAAACCTTCTGCCTTCTGGACTCCACTATTATGTGCAAAAAAATAAATGGAGCCATAGCACCATTCCCAAAAAAATAAAACACCAGGGCTCGACGGCTCCCCTACCAAATGGTATGTTACCTTTACATACATACTAACCCCTTGTCTTTTCATTTTGTATAATTATATATGGAAATAATTAATTATGCCACCTTAAATGAGTGAGGCACTGATTATTATCAAAGCCAAATAAAGACCCCCACTTTTTATGAGACCTAGAGGCCAATCTCATCTATTACTTCTATTGTGAAGTTAGACAAGTCTGGCTTTATCCATGGTAGAGCCAAGCATATAAATATAAGATGCCTTTTTTATTAATCTAAAATATAAACATAATAGCACACACACTAGATTGCTTATGACACTTGATGAACAAATCTCATGTAATTTTATGTGTGTGTCAAAATTTATAGAGTGGACAAGATTGCATTATATGGATCCAGTGGCTAAAATTTGCATCAATAATGTGATTTCTGAACCATTTCAAATCTCAAGAGGGACCAGACAAAGTTGTCCATTCCCCCCCCCCCCCTTCTCTTTGCTCTGGCCATGTAACCCTTATCAAGATCCATTCGTACTGATTCTACTGTATATGATGATGGAACATACTAGAATAGTGGGTATCCTCATATGTTGACTACATACTTATCTACAGTATTTGGCTGATCCTGGACCAATAGAGTATTACATATTCTGACCTTTGGTGGTTACTTGGGATTCCAAGTCAGTTGGAACAAGTCCATATTTTTCCTTTTTCTTTTATTACAAACAAATTTAGACATAATTATTGCTTCAAAGACAGAACACAAAATATCAAACCTGAAAATCTTGAAAAGAAAAGGGCAGGGATAAAAGCTAACAGTAAGGAAGTCACAAGCATGTGGATCTAGGAATTTTTCCCAAAGGGGTTTCAGGAAGGGCCAGCTCCACCAGATGGGAGAGAGTACAAACTTCATTACAACAGCACCAGTAGATTGGTTTTATGTAGGTATACTGTATGTGGTGTAGTCAGAATCAGAGAAGTATCTGTTTCTATTAATACCCAGCAACTATGGTTCTCAGAGGCAAATTCATAAAAAATATACAAGCTTTATAAAATGAGAGTATATTTCTCTCACTATTTCCGGTCACTCACTCACCAACACTAGGGTGTGGGGAATATAACCTCAAAACATACTATAACTTAAACAACCCTTCAGAAAGAACCCTGAGGGTAAAGAGGTAAATCTTCCCCCATGAGGCATAAACCAGAATCATTCTGGTGATGAATAAGCGCTGTCTTTAGCGTGAAACGCGTTTACCTGCCAGTCCCCCACTGTATTTCCACTGCCTATATTGGTTTTATCCTGGTTCAATAAAGTGGATTGTTTGGAGTGCAGCCGATCAGACTTTCTTTTGTTTTCATAAACTGGAACCTCGTGGGGCGTGATTTACTGCTTTACCCTTGGTTTTTCTAAAGGGTTCTTTAAAGGTATAGTTGTCAGAGGCAAACCAGTCTAAGATATGGGATAAGTGTGTAGCTTTTTAGTAGTTCAATATTCTTTCAGTTTGGAAAGGATCTGGTATATGGGTTTTGAACCTTTTCAGGCAAAGTAGGAGGAGGTTCATCAAAGAGCTACAGTTTATGACCAAACCATGTGTGGTATAGGTTAGACCAATTTGAAGTGTGGAGCCGATGTTATTTGGAAGAAGCACATCATTTTATATAAGTCCAGTAGGTTAGAAGGAATCTATACACCATACAAACCGTCTTCCATTTACAGTCATGACCAAAAAAATATTGGCACCCCTGCATTTCTGGCAGATAATGCACCACTTCGCCCACAAAAATTGTTGCAATTACAAATGTTTAGGCATTCTCATGTTTATTTCCAAAAGTGGACTGGACAAAATTATTGGCACCTTCTCAAAATTGTAAGAAATAATTGCATTCCAAGTTTGTGATGCTCCTGTAATTTGTAATTAACCGCTTCTCTACTGCCCTATAGCAGAACTGCTGCTACAGGGTGGCAGGGCTGCACAAAATTACGTATATATACATGATTTTGCATTTCTGGGTAGGGGGCATGCCTGCGTACCGCCCTACTCATGCTGTCATTGGCGGCTACAGCTGTCGATCACTGGGTCCCGGCCAGAGATTCCACCCGGTGATTGCCAAGGAACACTAACAGGGGAGAGGTCTATATGTAAACAATACAGATCTATCCCCTGTCATCACCAGCATGCTGCTTTGTATTGCTCTGCATAGAAGCATGCTTACACAGTAAAACACACACATCACAGTTAGTAAAACAGCACACAATTAACCCTTTGATCACCCCAGATTTTAACCCCTTCCTGCCCAGTGTCATTGTACAGTCTCAGTGCTTTTTATTAGCACTGATCACTGTATTAGTGTCACTGGGGATGTCAGTGGCAGTTAGTCAGTTCCCCCCAGTGTCTGAATGCCTTCCGCAGTCCCGCTATAAGTCGCTGATCGCCGCCATTACTAGTATAAAAAAAAATTCCAGTATATACAATACTGTATACCGCCATTTGTAGACGCTATAACTGTCACGTAAACCAGTTAATTTACACGTATTGGGTTTTGTTTTAGCAAAGACATGTATCAGAATACATTTTGGCCTAAATTTATGACAAAATTTTATTTTTCTACTGGATATGTTTTACAGCAAAGTAAAAAATATTGTTTTTTTCAAAACTGTCGGTCTTTTTTTTGTTTATAGCGCAAAAAATAAAAAAAGCAGAGGTGATCAAATACCACTGAAAGAAAGCTCTATTTGTGGGGAAAAAAGGATATAAATTTAATTTGCAGCGTTGCATGACTTTGCACTTGTCAGTTAAAGTAACGCAGCGATGTATTGCAAAAAATGGCCTGGTCAGTCAAACATGGTGGAGGTTCACTGATGTTTTGGGGTTGCTTTGCTGCTTCAGGCACTGGATGTCTTGACTGTGTGCATGGCACTATGAAATCTGAAGACTACCGAAGAATTCTGGGCAGCTATGTAGGGCCCAGTGTCAGAAAGTTGGGTCTCTGTCAAAGGCCATGGGACTTACAGCAGGACAGTGACTCAAAGCACACATCAAGAAGCACCCAGAAATGATTTAAGACAAAGTGCTGGAGAGTACTGAGCTGGCCAGCAATGAGTCCAGATCTCAATCCCATAGATCACCTGTGGAGAGATCTCAAAATAGCTGTTGAGAAAAGGAACCCTTCCAATCTGGGAGACCTGGAGCAGTTGGCGAAAGAAGAGTGGTCCAAAATTTCAGTAGAGAGGTGTATGAAACTCATTGATGGTTACAGGAAGCGATTGATTTCAGTTATTTTTCCAAGGGGTGTGCTAACAAATACTAAATTGAAGGTGCCAATAATTTTGTCCAGTCAGTTTTTGGGGTTTTGCATGGAATGTGTCAGATTTGGTTTTTTGTTTCTCTGCTTTTTTGTGTCATACCAATACACAATAATATGTGGGTGTAGGATTTTTTTTTTATGCTAGAACCAGGGGCGGACTGACAACTCATGGGCCCCCCAGGAAATAGGGGATTATGGGGCCCCTGTGTCCTTGCCCAAACTCAAAAAAGCCTATGAAAAAGGTACCAGGGGCATCTCATGGGGCCCCCTACTGACCCCGGGCCCGCGGGCAGTACCCAAATTTCCAAATGGTCAGTCCGCCCCTGCCCATAGTGCATGTATTCCCCCCTTTACTTATAAGCATTATATAGCAGTCTTGTTACTTCTAGTGTCGGGCTGAGCACTGGTTAAAGCTTGTGGAGGAGTTTTCATTCTCCTCTGACTGTCCTATGTTGCTGCATGACCCATGAGCCTCTGTCTGGACAGTGCTGATTGGCCCTGTGCCAATCACATACACCCTCCCAAGAAAAAAAAAAACATTCTCTAGCAATACACACCAAACTGAACATGTGCAGAGTGCCTGCTAGGGCTCTTTACTATCAGCAGATGGATTGGGGACTGTGGAAGAAGGGGAGGATCAGAGAAGACAGGATCCAACAGCCTTATTACTCAATGCGGGTTCCACAATGAGTATAATAAGCATGCTTTACTGCATATACAGACTGATTTTACTGTTGTGGGTTAACTACGTAACACTTTAATTTATGAATTGGGGTCTACAACAAGACAGAGGAGTTTGCTGTATAAATGTAACTCTTCATTCAATATATGCATGTGAAACTTAAATGAAGCAAAAAAAAAAAAAAAGAGACAACGCAACTTAGCTGAGTATATACAGTACAGTATATACTTCTTTTATAAAATAATGAATTGAGATGTACTTTAAATACATTATAGGGAGTTGGGAGTTCATTATGATCCAAATGTAAAACCTTTGAAGGGTTGCAAGGCAGGGAGCTAACTTTTCCTTCTAATGATATCTAAATGACAGGTGCTGTGCTTAATTGGTATTAGTTCTTTATCTGACTAAATAAACCACAGAACCTATGTAATTTATATATGTCATTACATTGTAAGATAAGTAGATAGGAGTGAGGTCTTTGGGCAGCCTCAAAAAATCCCAGTAAGGCTAGGTTCACACCTATGCAGGTTGCATTTCATCCGTTTCTGCATTGCGTTTTGCGTTGTTTTTGCATTTTTGCACCTGCGTTTTGGGTTTTTTTTTTCTTTTTTTTTTGTTCTTTTTTATTTTTCTTGTTGCTAGGCAGATTTAAAATGCAAAATGCATCAAAAAGGCAGCAAAAACGCACTACATGCTTTTCTGCAGCGTTTCCATTGAAGTCTATAGAACCAATAATGCAACTTTTTGTGCACAAAAAAGTCCCTGACCCTTTCCAAAAAACGCACCGGGTGAAAACGCAGAGATGTGAACATGTCCAATAGGAAATCATGTTAAATGGACTGTAGTGCGTTTCTGCAGAACACTGCGGTAAACACTTTGGTGTGAACCTAGGGTTAGACTTGGCAATCTAAGAGTTTTACTACACCTTAGCCTTAGGTGCTAAAGTAGGTGGTACTGTCCATGTACTGAATAAGAAAACTTTTTCCTGTTATGTCACCTGTCTCACAAATGAACCCAATAACAGAAACTGCTTCTGCAACCATGCATCTTGAAGATATAATGTTAAGAAAAATGGCAATCATGTGCACACAAATCTATTGTACTTACATTCAGAATAACAATATTTTTGAAAGTTTCTACAACTGAAGCTTTAAACATATAATTTAATTATACTATAATTACTCCATCAGTTTTCATCAGTAACAGTTATCTTTTCTATTACAAACAAAACAGCTAAGCCTTTGTACGTGCTGTTTCAAGCAAAACACAGAAGAGGGCAGTCTTGTTGCGCAAAAAAAAAAGAATTAGTGATCAAAAGATATATCTTTAGAATTCTAGTTCCAGCTCTGGTTAAAAGTATATATAATGCATTTTTCCAATTTCTAATATTATAGGTCTAATATATAAAGCTTGACTTCAGCCAATACATTTGGGTCTGAGAGTGTGGAAAGGTTAGAACTTTTAGAATTTTTACTGTGGCCCAACTGGATTTTTTTTATATCTGGTGACACCAGGACAAGAAAAGAAGGGAGTGAGTGTCACAAGAGCAGAAGACACAGCAATAAAAAAAAAACTTCTCAGAGGTTCTAACCCTTCCCGACTCTACTAAAATATATTTATGCTGCTTTCTATGTCACCATTGGAGAGATTAACCGTGCTTTCTGGTCTCTTTGACACCCTGTTAGAATGATAAGTAAGCAAAGACAGAGCTCAGCAGGCAGGAGTATTTAATGTACAGCACAACTGACAGAGTGCAGTGGTCAGGAGTATGTAATATACAGCCTAATATAAAGAGAGCAAGGGTCACTATTGAATAACATATAGCACAGTATACAGGTGCAGTGGTCAGCAGTTTACATTATACATCACAGTACACAGATAACAACACTCAGCATTATGTATGTACGTTCTACACAGGGCTGCTGTTAGAAACCATGGGGCCCCATACAGCTGACCTGAAAGCCCCCCCCTGCAAAAAAATCTCACAGTTAACTATGCTTCAGTTAGAATGAACACAGCGAGTAAGCTGTAATGATCACTCACTGTGTTCGTTCAGGAAAGGCAGGGGCTGGCAAATGGGACATATTTACTGGAACCTTCCCCCACTCTTCATCCTGAAGGATTCTATTGTCCTAGTGTCTGCAGCTGCTGGTGGAAAGGAAAGGAGGGAAGCCGGCAGCACTGTGAGGGTGGGGGCACACAGGGGGGCCTGGGCAGCAAGGGGAAACATATGGTGCACAGGGAGGGTGATGGGTGTGGCAGAGGGGCAATTTCTGGAACTGATCCCTTGTATGTCTCTCTCTGCAGCTGCTGAAAGCCGATGGGAGCTTCCAGCTGCTGCAAAGAGAGCCATACAGGGGATCGGTCCCAGTAATTGCCCCTTCGCTGTTCCAATCACCCTCCCTGCTTACATCTGATTCACCCAACTGCCTGGGCCCCTCTGCTGGCCTGGGTCCCCTACAGGAGGACTGGTGGCACCCCCTTATCCATGGCCCTGGTTCTACAGTGTACATTACATACTCCTGACCATATTCTCTATGCTGTGCTGTCTGGTACATACCTTTTATTGTTGTATCCTGCAAGTTTATGTCTGCTGCAATCTGTATCCCGGACTGTACATTACATACCCTTTAAGATTGCACTTTGTATGGTGATATATACATGACATACATTAGACCACTACACTCTGTACATTTTAGTCTCTTGCCCCCTGCACTGCTGACCAATGCATGACTATAGAAATCACATTGTTCTCTAGGGTGCTCGTTCACATGAATGCAGCTTGGTGCAGTGCGATTTTTGAAAAGGTGTATGTGCTTCTTGTGGTGCAATCATATTGCATTTTTGGCCCCAAAGACTTTAATAGAAGTGCATAACACCTTCTATGAATGAAATGAATAGGAGATGAGCAGATTGTTGAAAGGTCTGTCTCCTCTATTCAGAATTGTTTCATTTATAAAAGTTTCAGTATGGCTTCTTTGAATGGAGGAGCCTGGTGAAAATGGTGGGCATAGTCTGGCACTCTTGATGAATGCCTGTTACTGCTCCCTCTGTTCTATTATCCCCCGCTGCACCAGAAGATTACAATGGCGGAGGAAGTGGGGGGTTGGAGGATGAAAATTTCAAGGAAATCAAGAGCCAGCAGCACAAGAGACACGTCAATTTAGTAGTAAGTAATGTCCCTTGTGTTGTTTTTTTCCCCCTAAATTTTGGCTTTAAAAAGCAGTAAAATAGCTGTAAAGAACTCCTTACTCAGCTCTCTAGCTGCTTTCCATGTGAAGTAATTAATTTTCAAAAATCCTAAATAATCTCAGCAAACACTTTAAAGTCTAGTTTCCATCAGTTTCTTAACAGCTCAGCAAGATCTGCAGGTAGTTTGCTTTAAAAGGTTGTCAGGTTGCCAAAGCTAAGTTTTATTGTCTGTGTTTTGAACT